AATTTATGTCAAAGCAAAGAAAGGGTCAAAATTAGGTATTTAGAAATACTGAAACAAATAATTTCCATATAAAAACCAGTTTTACTTTGTCAGTTTACGAACATGTTCAGGATTTTTATACTTCAGCTACAGAAAAAACTACTCTTAAAATTTGTCTTTTTTTTGGTATTACAAATCTATTACATGTTTTTGTCCACAAGATTTTGGGAGTAAACCTTTTTTTCTTCTTGTTGTTTGTCATTGTGTAGGAAGCACTCATTTAAAATAATAATTTTTTAAAAATCTGTTTTCTCTTGCTGGGGCAATTTTAATCATTATTCATCCAGTGACAAAAGATTAGCCATAGCTTAAGTCTATCTTGCATGAAATTTGTTTCTCACTGCTATAAAAATCAATTTTTAACTAATACAGCCAAATATTTTAACAGGTTGTGTGGTGAATATTCTGTTCCCACTTATTTCTGTGAGCCTCCTGTACCTCAGAGAAGTTATTTTCAAGTTTGCAGCTATGAAAATGAAAGTAACATAACTCCTTTTCTTTCAGGGCTACCAGCTCCTACATGCATGTCTAAACACCTTATGTATATACTGTAATATTATAGCATTAAATGAAACTGCTTTAGAATGCCTGAATGTTTTTACTTACTCTAGTCACAGTGAGTGTTCTTTACACTTGTCATCTGAAATTATTCCTGCTCTTAATCTACACAGTTTAAAAATTGTGAAGGAGGTGATGGCATTTTCTATAAGCCAGCAGAAAAGGAAAAGAAACATTAAAGAAGATGTTATTAAAAGCATATGTCATTGTCACACTTCAGGCCCTGAAGGACTTCTGAGGCTGTTCTAGAAAAGGCAAGCTTCATTCTTGAGAAAGAACAAAATGTTAATTTGCTGTCAGATAAAAATCTACAGTATCTGTTGAATTCACATAACTGAACACTAAGGCATACCTCTTTAGGTCTAAATTGCAGCTTTCTTCAGCTAGTGAAACTGCACATCTTCTCAGATATCTGTGATATACTTAGTCACATCATCATTGTGACAGCTTGAAAGGAGGAGGACTCAGAAAATAGAAAAGCAGTTTAAAATTCTTATAGAAACAATTTATTTTTGGAAGACAGTGGTATGCATTTTGCAGAGACAATAAAATCCTTTCCCTGGGGAAGCTGATATTTTCTAATGGCCTTAAAGAACACTTACATTCCTTGAATCATGTTGCTGGCAGGGACCACGGAAGGTGGCCGAGTCCACTCTCTGCCTGAGAGCCACTCTACTGGTGCCAGTTCTGAACGGTGGTGCAAGTTTTTCTTGTAGAGTCTGATGTTGGTGGCTGCACAAACACCCAGCTAATCTTCTTCCTATCCTTGTAATTTTTGTTTTCTAATCTTCTTGCTTTGTTTTAAATCTTAATCCATCCACTATGGAATTGGAGAGCAAATTAATCCTTTTATCTTTATAGCACTTGCATATACCTGATACCCATTCATATCAGTTCTGCATCGATATGCATGTTTCTCCTTCTTCTGCTATCTTCCTTCAACCTAAATGCCATGTGGCATTTTCTTCTAAGTCATGTTTTATAGATAGCTGATCATTCAAATTGTTCTTTTCTGCTCTTTCTGTGGGCTACATTTTTACTGAAGCCAAACAGACCATGGCTACTAAGTTTTTCTAGGGCCATGTAAATAAAATAAAGAGTCCATCCTTCTTTTTCTGTATTGTTTTATGTGGTTTAACTTTCTTATTGCAGCTCTGTGACATTATTCCCTTTGTATATATTGTGATTCACATAAAACAGAATTTCTTTTTCTTTTTTTTGTCACATAATTGCAGCTTTTTTCCCTGCAGAACACCCAGTAGTTCCCCCTTTCCTGTTTGTATAGCTGATTGTGTTTGCTGCTGCCCAGTAGCAGGCACTTATCCCTGTTGAATAGAACTCTCCTTTTTCCAAACCAAACCACTAGTGTGCAAAAATCCTTCTAAACCTGACATCTCAGTTTGGTATAATCTCCAGTAATATAAACGTGTTTTCTGAACCATCACTGAGTTCATTAACATCCTTCTGACAACGAGCTCCTTGCATGAGTTCCCTCAATAACTTCTTCTACATTGTTTTCTTTGTTTGCTGAAAGAATATCATAGGAAACCATGTAAAAAATCTTACTAAAGTGACATCCAACATGACCTTCAATTTTCCTCCTCCATTGATGATTCCTCTTTGTTTGTTGCAGGAGAGATTAGATTTGACATCTTTTGTTCTTGACAAAGCTGTGTTGGCTGTTACTTGTTGTGTTACAACTGCTTAAAGATAACTTGTTTACTTGCTCCAGTACCTTTTTCTGTGTAATGAGGTCAAACAGATTGGTACACAGTATCTTATTTCCTTCTTTCTTTTTCAATAATACAGTTTCTCCCCTTCTGTCCTGTAATATTCCTTCACTGTAAATTATCAATGATAACCATTTTCATGATCCAGTCCTTTAAATTCTGGTGATGGAAAAGCAGCAAATTGTGTTTGAACAATTTTTCACTTGGTCCTTCGATTGTCAAATCTGAAATCTGTCTGTTTTCCCAATTATCAATAATGCCTGATATATATCTATATATATCTATATCTATATCTATATCTATATCTATATCTATATCTATATCTATATATATATATATATATAGATATATAGATTAGGTACAAAAATATTAAAAGGCTTGACTTTCTCAGTGTTGTCTATTAAAAACTTACCAGTTCTGCTTGCTACAGGCATAATAATTTGCTTGATTCTTTTCCATGTCCGGTAATGTACTTAAAATTATTTTATGTTAATATCCAAATACCCAAATATCCCTTGCTAATTGTCTCATTTTCGGCTGCTGTTTCTTACTTTATCCCTGCATGATCAGGCTACGCTTTTGTAGGTCCTCTAAGTAACCTGACCCAACTTCTCTTTTCTGGATGCTTCAATCCTATCTGAAGCTCAGGAGGAGCTACTGACAGCCAGGCTGATCTTTTACTCTACCTGTTGCATTTTCTGCATGAATAGTTCATTTACTTACACTCTTAGTGTTGTTCCTTGGGAAGTGACAGTTCTTAAACATTTTTTTTTTGTCTGCATCAACCTTCTAGAACATCATGTTGACCACTTGCAGGAGTTCATGGGAACCTACGTCCATAAAATGTATTTTTTGTGTGTTTTGATGCTGTTGCTTTTTTCTAAAATCACAGCAACTCCCTGCAAAAAACTGTGAAGCCATACATTTGTATATGTATACATACATATATATACATGCAGACACATGTGTCTGTCTCTCTCTTTGTGAAGAACAATGAAAACTTTAAAAAATGCCTAGTTTTTCTGACCCAAATATTTCAGTTCAATACCTACAAAAGAAGATGAAAGATGATGGGTGAGTCACCAGAAAACAAGCTCATAATTCTACTGGAAAATAGAAGCAGTCAGGATTTCTTCTTCCTTTCCTAATAATCCTGTAAAGAAATTTATTTTTTTTTACATCAGCTATAGCTTGTAGGTGAAGGACACATATGAAGGCATTATAGATCCATTTTACCCCTGGATTAGAAGAGGGTATTAAAAGTTTTCTTCTATTCCACTCTTTTTACTGGTGATGTATCTTGTAGACCTTTATTCCTATGACTATTGTTTATTCTGCTTCATCACATCAGGGGTCTAAGAAGCAGGATTGTTGTTGGCTGGGCTTCCTGATTTCAGCCTTCAGGGAAAATTATGAGCAGGTTTAGGACTGCACCAGTTCATGTTTGACGGCTCTGCAACAACAGCTGTAGAAACCAAGATATGGTGTCCCACTGGCTCTCAGGGAATAGATTCCTCAGATGTTGTATCTAGCACTGGCTTGGGTTTAAAGAATAGCTTTAAAATATGTTTTCATTTCCTCTGTGTCTCAAAGGGACTTATTCTGTGACACTTGGCATGTTTTTGTATCCATCATTACAATGCACATAATCTCTCATTTTCCTGCAGAAGTTCAATATTACAGAAAGGAGAACATATTTTAAATTAAAAGCAGCATTCATCTGCATTGGTGATGAGCTCAACACACTTTACTATAAAAGCTTTCTGTAAGCATGTTTCTGTATTTCTTTCTCGCCCTCTTGTGTATTTTAATGACTTGGATTAGCATATTTTTACTTGTTTCTTTCATGTTGTCTAAATATTAAACATTTATAATTACGTCAAGGACTCATTTTCCATGTTTCTAAAGAGCCATTTACTGCTTATGAGAGTGCTTAAAATAAATTGTTAGTAGTAACTTGCAGTATATGCAGGATACTAAAGTGGGCTGTATGAATTTCACTGTCATATAGAAGACTGTGAGGGGAGTTGGGTAGATTTTTGGAGTTTCTTTTCTGTGGTTTGGGGTTTTTTTTCATTAAAGGAACTCAGAATCTCACTCTCATGACCTTAGCATAATTTAGCATTTAAAAATTCACTTGCATGTCATGTTAAAGAGTGAAGATGATAATTGGGCACAAACTCCTCTGAATGCTGGCAGCATTTAAAGTATCATTTTTTTACCAGTTATGCTTATACCTACACGCCTCTTGAGGTCTGAATTAAAACACCCAAAGCTTATAAAATCGGAATGCATTCTCCCAAAAAGCCAAGGAAGAGCTTCTCCTATTACATAGTACTTACAAGCGTCGATCAATAATTGTGTAATGTAAAATAATTATGTGGTATTTCCCAGGTGGATATGCACCGATTCCAACGTGCATTATTACCCGTTATAAGTGGTTATATATAACGACACGCATGTACCGTGATCACAAAGCAGGGCACTGCTCATTCACCACGTGTACACCGGCGGTGCCGGCACCACCGCGGCGCGGCTGCAGCGCACGGCAGCGGCTGCCTCAGGGCTCCCCTCAGAACCCCCGGCCATCGATCCCTCACGCCCTTTCCAGGCGTTCACTGCTCACACCGAGGTCTCCTACACAAACACCTGCCAAAGGCTCATTTTCCCCTCTCACAAAGCGCTCCCGGCTCCCCGGGCACAGCAGCCCCCGCCAACCCCGATCCTCCTTCCCTCTCTCCCGCCGCAGGTCCGGCTGCAGCGCGGGGATACTGACGGCGGAGCGCGGGGATGCCGGGCGTGCGGGGACGCCGGAGGGGCGCGGGGATGGTGGCCGTGAGGTTGCGGGGACGGCGGCCGTGAGGGGATGCAGGCGCGGCGGGGGGATGGCGGAGGGCGCGGGGATGCCGGCCGTGAGGCGAAGCCGGTGTCTCGGGATGCCCGCGGGTCGCGCAGCCCCGAGCGGTGCCGCCCCCGCCGCGGCGGGCGGAAGGGGGACGGCGGGGGGGAGGCCCCGCGCCCCCGGTGCCGCTGCCGGGCATGCGCCGTGCCCCCGGAACATGGCGGCGGCGTGAGGCGGGCGGCGGCAGGAGAGGCTTGACAGGACGCCGCGGACCCGCGTCCCGCCCGCCTGGTGAGTGGCGGCGGCGGCGTTTCTCTCTCCCCGAGGTGGCGGGCAGGGGGAGGGAGGAGCAGAGAGAGAAAGGGAGGCGAAGCGGAGGTCGTGTCCCCTCCTAGGGCTCGCACCGCAACCTCCGCCCGCCGTGGGCGCCGGGCGCTGCGGTCCTGGCTTCCCGTCCTCGCTAACACCACTGCGCTGGGGGCGGCACCGGGTCTGGCCGGGGCTGCTCCGTGCTCCAGCGCCGCGCCCCGGTCTCTTGGCGCTGGCCGCTCCCCTCTTCTGCAGGCTGAACTCCCAGCGCGGCGGGTCCCGCCGACCCCGCCCGCGGGGACCCGCGGGTGGCCGAGTACAAGCGCAGCTGCGAGGGTGAGAGGAGCGGGGCGGCTCTGTCTCCCGGCGCTAACAGCGTGCCTCTGTCCGGGGGTGGCCGCGACTCCCGGATAGCAGGAGCTCCGGTGAGTAAGGGCGGCATGGGAGGTCGCTGAGCCGCCGGTGCATCCGGGACGAGCGGCGGGGCCGGCGGCGTTTGACAGGAGCGCGGGCAGGACACGCCTCCCCTGGCCGGGGCGGCCCCGCTGCCTCCCCCGCGGCGGAGGCGGTGGCTCCCCGCTCTCCAGGCCGGGGCTCAACCTGATCGTCCGTTCCCGGCGACCGCCGAGGCTGGCGAGGTGCTGCGGGACGGGCGTAGACCAGAACAACTGGATGAATGTTAAAAATAATTTAATTCGGAGCGCTCGCTTCTGTTGGGTAAGGGGGCTGGGGGTGCCGCTTGAAGACAGCGCGGTGCCAGACGTGGCCTGTTGTGGGGTACTTGTCGGGTTGCGATGCTCTGCGGCACTGTTCCCGTTTTCTTTACAGTTAAACTGCGTATGTGGCATATATCAATTATCGAGTTAAAGGGGATATTTTGTACGGGGAGTTATAGTTTTGGATAGTCCAAAGAAAATAGTTTAAGTATGAAAAGTTCTGTTGCCGTGTTGTGCGTCATTGTTGTCTTTAACTGCTAGGCTAACATATAAAACACATTGCAATGCTATAGTGTGTATCAATAATCAAGTTAAATTGTATGCTCAGTTATTCTTTAGGAGTGAAGGCATGCTTTAAGTATTAATACAATTAAAGTTGAAGTCTTTCCCTACAGTTACCTGCTGCTTTTTACTGATGAGTTAGACTATACGAGATAGCAAAAAATAATTCTAAGACCTAAAAGGTTTCATGAAAATAGGAAATACTAATATTATAGTGAGTTCTGGTAATATAAACTTTGCTTGTGACTCATCCATATCCTAACTAAAGTAGACAAGGTGATTAAAACTTAAAAAGCATAGACTGTAGATACGACAGTCGGTTTTCAGAACGTGCTGTGTCTGACTTGTAAACAGCTCTTCAAGTTTGACTGGTTATGAATTTTTTATAATAAAAAGTAACAGTCTTAAACCTTTGAATTTTAAAATCATTCCTACATTACCGTACAGTTGCGCGGGGTCGGTAACGACTGCAGCACTGGTGCCGTTCAGAACAGTATTGCAGGAAGGCGTTTGCTGCATTGCACTTGGGTTTTGGGCTGTCACGTTAACGTTATGGAGTAAATAGGGCAGTGAATACATTGCACTATAGCAGCTCTCCACGGACCACCATCAAGTGCTGCTCAGGCCACAGCAGCCCACCTCCCACATGAGTGGTTGCCCTTACAGTGTGTCCACAGAAATTTCTTGTACAGCCAGGCTGCGCACTGGGGGTCAGGGGGAGCTGATTTTTTCCCTTTGGGTACCATAAAATGTAAGCACTATTTAAGGATGATGTTACTTGAACTGATGTAAAGAAAAAGTGCAAGTTGTAGACATTTTGCTTAAGTATTTTATTTATGGGAAGTAATGCAAGTGTGAGGCTGCAGGAAACAGTGTTTGGTGAAACGGAGGTTGAGACCGGGAAGTGTTTATATGGGTTTTAACTTCAACATGGTCTGGTCTCGAATATGAAAATAGAGCTTACAATTTTTGTTTGAAACTCAGTTATTGGAGTTGATGCTCTATTTTTCTATTAGGTGTACGTAGGTAACGATATTTGTGTGATATCTTTCAAGTTGCTTGGTGTTTTATATTTTTATAGTAATGCTCTGATTCAGTAAAAACATGTTGGCTTTTCCTGATGTGCTATAATGAAAGTATAAACTACTTTCACAACAATTAGAGGCCATGTAGATATGAGAACATAACATAACTAGATTGTTCTTAACTTTCAGATATGTAAAAGTCTCAATGTAAGAATTTTAGGAAACAAGCAGTGGCAGTACTTTAAAATATTTCTCTTTTGACTTTGTGTGTTCCTATCTGGAATATACAGATTCTTTTTTTTCCCCCTTTGCTGTGACTGCTGTTGCTGTGACCAGATAGTGTGCTCTTAAGGCAGAGGCATTGTTTTCTGGAGTAGCTGCTCGAGTTCAAAAGAGGTATTTTGCTAGTGTGAAATTTCTAATACTCAGAAAGTATTGATTCCATTACCTATCTAAAATTTGTGCTAAGATGGCAGCTTTACTTGAGAGAATGTGAAGAAACTCGAAGCAAATATAGATAGCTGCTTCTGCCTGTTGTACATAGGTGTCTGTTTTTGTTTTTCTTGGTATTCCAGTGGGATTGTGAGCTGTGAGCGAGTCCTGTTAGTCCATTTACAGAGTGAATGTACGGGGACAAATGAAGTCCTCAGCAATGATCCACTGCTACTAAATAGTGTCACTAACAGGAAACGACATTTGTCATTAACTGTTCAGGACACTGCAGCTGGCTTTCTTATTTGACTGGATACAAGTACCTCAAACAAGGGTGAGTGAAATACATAGTTATTCTTTTCATGTTGTAAGGAAAGCTTTAGAAATATCATTTGACAGTCTATTGTGATATTTTTAAGTGTAAATATAGAACAAATTATAGGTAGGGACCAAGACACTGCTTCAAGGAATCTAGACAAGGGAGGTTGTTAACCAACTTTGTGAGCTCCCCATCTGCAGGGCATTTAAAGTTCTGTTCATTCCCATTTGAAAGAAATAGCTTTAGGCACTCATCCTTAATGCTGATTGCTTCTTTCAGAGATTAAAATCTTAAATGTAAAGGACTGTACCGTTTGTATTCTTTAAAGTGTAAGACATGCAACATAAATTGCTCAGAATGAGATTTTTCTAGCATGGGGGAAGAGCCAGAAGAGCCCATATAAAATTGTCAAGGTGTAATAGAGCAGTAGGTAAATAAGAAGCAATCGAAATGTTAAATTTAAAGTTCCAGAATATTTGTTAACGTTGTAATAGAATTCGATGAATAATTCTTTTTTACTATGATTTGTACTTTTGGTATATGAGGATGCTTTTCCTAGAAAATTTGTACATCTTCTTTGGAGATTTCTAATAATGTCCAATTGCTCTATAATTAAGTGTTAGGAAGCTTTAATATTAGTTATATGCAGTTAAGTTTATTTTTGCATTGTAACGATGACTGATACTGTGGGTATGAGCAGCTTTCCTTATGATGTCTAAATGGAGAGGCAATTAATTTGTTTGAGGTAAAGTCGCTGAAAAGTGAGGCAGTTAAGTACTTAAGTGAACCGTAGGGATTTTTAAAAGTATGTTTCTGTGTAAGTACTATTTTTGTGCCTTCAGGTACCTGCTGGCTGACTTGATGTGTTTGGGCAGTGAGGGCTGAGGGTGTGTGCCCAGCTCCTGCTGCAAGTGCTGGCCTCGGAGCAGCAATGCTGCCTCACTTCTGGGAGCAGAAGGAGATGATTTGGTGAGTCACCTGCTCTGTCCAGGTGTATTTCTGTAAACTCACCACATTGCTTAAAACTCATATTCTGTATCTGTGATCTCTTCAAGTAGATTACCATCTTTTGGGATGGGAAGGGTGGCTTCAGGTACATGAGCCAACAGTGAGCAAACTCCCCTTTTATCTGTGGCAGATCTATACACGAAGAGTAACTGGTGCATAAATGGTGCTGATGACCATCAGAGGTACTTTTATCTCATCCTTTTTAGTCTTTTGTCTTAGTCAACAAGGGTGTAGGTCTGGAGGAAAGTCAGGACCTGCCTCCTAACCATTCAGAAAGCAGCAGCTGTCTCTATCAGCCAAGTCATCACTTATTTATTTGGGCTTGCTCTGATGGTTTCTTTTATATATAATGGACATTTGGCTTAAGTGCACACAACTAAACCATTTGTAGTAGGGGGATATAATGTGTTACACCCTTAGCACTGTGTGTCTGCAGGGATATCCTACATAGGTGCCCTTAGCAACTCTCCGCCAAGATCCCTGTCAGAGAAAGCAACAGCTTGAGTTTCTGTGTCTTTTGGATAGGACCAAAAATTCGTTATTTTCTTATCTTGGATCTAAATGAAGTATGGATTTCTTCTTTCTGATGTTAAGTTCCATGTCTGTTTTATTTCAGCATTCTTGCTTCAAGACTGGTTCCTAGTTCTGAACTTTAACTAAGGCACCTGCCTTATGGGTAGTGTTGATCGGTTTGGATCCAAGGTGGTGCAGTACTGATGGTGTGCTAATTGTGGTTCTTATGCGTGCTCTGTTGCTGCTTTTCTAAATTACTTGCAGAGCCTAATATCAAAGTCTTTCTGAAATACTGCACCATTAGCAGAATTTTAGTGCTCTTTCATGTGTTTTAGCAGTGTAATAGCCTTTCTGCTTCACAGGTAAGATACTGTCTAGATATCTTACGTCCAGACTAATCCTAAAGTATATTTTCTTTTTTTTTTTTTTTTTGGCTTTGTAAGAATAATGCTGTATCCAGTTTAAGCACGAGCAGTGTTTTAGACAGATTACGTTTTTTCTTAAACTCAAAGGTGGTTTATATTCTTCCTATTTGTATGTTGTCATTTAGACCCATGTAAAACATTGTATTAAAGGTAGATGTACTGTTTTGATAATTTCATTCTAGGCCTTCAACTTCACAAATCAGGTCAAATTCTATTTAAGACACCAAGGGAATTCCGTCATTTTCATTTCCATCAATTTTCATAAAAGGAATGAACTTCTTTGATGGAAATCTAAGTCAGTTGTCTTCTCAAGGTAATACGAGACTCCTTTTAGTGTAGGGCAAAGACGAGGTTGAGCCTTTCATCCTCTACCATACATTAGTTCAGGAAGCAGCTGAAGTTTATAAAACCTGTAAGAGAGTAGCACCATTTTAATGAGGTGCATACCTAAAATGAAGCATGTACCATTATTTATGTACTGTGTGGAATCTATCAGAGATTAATGCAGGCAGGTTCACTGGAAGGAGTGCAGTTCTTGGGGCACTTTTAAAAGCCCACTTTAAAAGGGCAGTTTGTAAAACTGAGTCTTATGCATGGAGGAATGTGAAAGGGTATCAGAGCTGCTAAACTTGGTGGAACTCTTTATTGTCACTAACATCTGTCAGGAGCTCAGAGATTAAAAGGGCTGCTGCATGTTTGGTGGCACTTCCCCTACCAAATCTCTTGTACGTGTACCGTGCACTAGCGGACTATAAAGAGGCAGACAGTGGTTTTATGGGAAGGTCACATAATATGAACTGGTTTTAATCCCAAAATAAGCAGTGTTATGATTAGATGGAAAACTTTGAATATGGCATGTAATTATTTTTCATCTTGTTGTAGGAAAATACTATCTAATCTGAATATTCTGTACTGCTCAATGGTGTAAGGATTGAGTGGAGGAAAGAGGGGAGATTGCCTTCAGAAAGGGGATCTCCAGAAACAGCAGAAAGGAAGATATCCTGCCTCTGTTCTGAGCTGGAGCCACATACAACCAGTGACAGATGTGCTGTCACACTGAGGAAGAGGTGGAAGAGATTGCCCTGTTAAGGCTTGCTTCACCTCTGGGTTGGCCTTTTTAATATAATTGGAAAGTTGTCACAGAAAGTGGGAAGAGAGATACAGATGTGCTGCAAATTTTCCTGATGCTTTGAGTCTTTAGTCTTCTTCTGTTTTTTAAGAGTGAAGCAAATAGTACAGCGGAGTATTTGCAGCTGTCTAGTCCTTTGAGCTTTTAGGAGTTGTTACGTCTTTTATGACCTGTTAGTGCTTTGTTAGCTGCAGAAATGTCCAGCAGCACTGAATGGTCCTTTGGAATGACACTTGATGTGATTCTTGGGGCTTCCTGTCCAGGGACAGAAGTTGGACTTAGACGATCCTTGTGGATCCATTCCACCTCACGATATTCTGTGATTCAATGATAATGTTTGTCCAAATAGATGGACAAATATTTTGGACAAATATTTTTGATGGCATTTGCACGAAGATCCCTTGTGTAAGGGGACTTTTTGAGTTGGGGAAATAGCACAGCTATCAGCACCAGCAACAGGTGAGTCCAGTGCCTGTGCCTGGAAACTGCAAGCAGCATTCTGTGTTGTTTTTTTTTTTTGCTGCAGAAACATTGTCTCGACAGGAGAGCTATCAGGAAATTGCTTAAGGGTTGTTTAATTCTGGTTGGTTTGGTTTTGTTCCCAGACTGGACACCAATATGTGGGATGAGTGCAGTTATTCCATTATATAAGCCAGGCTACACCATGGAGTGTTGCAGCAGCAGAAAAATGAGTTGAGGCAAATTGTGTCTCTGTTAATATACAGTGGCTGGGAGTCCAGTCAGCACTTTGTTGTTTGGATTCTTAGGTGGGAGAGAGAAACAGGTATTTTATGCACTGGAAGAGGATGGTAGTAGAAGTATGTTGCTGCTGGCATTGAGTACAAGCGAGGGGAGACAAACATGTTGTTCTGAAATCAGGTAAACTTCATCTGGGGTGCTGACAGGAGTCAGATCCTGTGCAGAAATGTCCCAAGGCTGTTCTCCACGCCTTCAACGAAAAAATAGATATAAATTTGGCTTCTGTAGATTTCTTCATCAGACTAAAAGAATGTGTGTTTCTCTAGATACTCTGTTCTGAATAAAAAATCTGGACCTCAGGGATGAATTTGCTGACTATGTGCTGTGTGGATAGAGCTCTGTTAGATCACATCTGAACAAAGCTTTTACAGTCCTTTTCCAGTGTGAAGGCAGTGTAGAAGGGAGGAAGCCGAAGTTGCCTAAAAGGGTGAAAAATCCCCTTTCTGCCCCTTGTTCCCCCCCTTGTTCCTTATGCATTACACACTGACTGCTGGTGGTGTTGTTGCTTCTTGTCTGCTAAAGACAAGTGCAGAAAAGCTGTATAGGATTCTTTAGCATCTGGGCATCTCTTGCCATGTTTGCAACAGCAATTTCTTTTCTCTCTTACCTGCTGTATTTGCACTGTGGTGAAAGTAAGCTCAGTGCCTTGCAGAACCAATAGTTTGAGACCTCTCTTCTGTGTCAAGGAAGGCTGAGCTAAAGACAGAGGAGATCTGAGTATCTGAGTGTAAACACAATTTCATGCAGATATGTAGCGCTTAGGGCTAATCGTGCAGTTGGTTTTTTTTGGCATAATTTAGTTAGTTTGCTTTATGAAAAAAAAGTTAGGTATTTGGACAAAGCAAGGTTGAATAATGATGATGGATGTCTTCAGGAAGAGTACTCCAGGCTTGAAGGGGGAAGTGGAAAACAACACAGAGGTTTTAGTGTGCTGAATTCACCAAAATGTTTAAACAAATTGTCAAAATCTTGTGCTACTGTAAATATGTACTAGTCAACTACTAAAACTGTCTGTTTTGTTTAAGATAGAAATGTAAGCTATATTTTTAAAATTTATTTTAATATAACATTAAAATCCCCTTTCATGTGGGAAGATTGGCATTTTAAGAATATTTAAAGCTGTTGATGGCCCGTCAGCTTTGCTGAACTGCTGACTTCACACATACCATTTCCTTTTTCAGGTTTTTACAACCCCACATCTACTGACTTTTAAAGCAGGATGGGGAGGGAGGGAAGGAGGAGAAAAGCTTTTTCATTTTTTGCTGGTAGCCATAGAGCAGCTCTAAACTGCAATTTAAAAAATTACTGTCAATTTAGTAAATGTTAAATCTACATGACATTAATTGTTTCTGTTGTGTATTAATACAAGCTATGCTGTTTAATTTGGAGACCTTACTTCTCTGATGTTCTCATTTATAAGTGTTATTTCTTGTTTCAGGATTTTTTGGGACAAATCTTTGGTCTAGACCTTGTTAGTGTTTCTTTTTAAAATATACAATGCCTTACTCTACTGAATAACACACTTAATGGGGTTTGAGAGTTTAGAGAGAGTTTTGCATTCTTGAAATGTATGTCTTACTGTAATTACAGTTGCTCATATTCTAAAGCAGGTCGTAAACTTACCTGGAGAGAGAGCAGAGCATTTACAGGCAATATTTTACTGCTGACAGCTTAAAAGTTTGTTTATGCTAATCACTTCATAAATAGTGAGCAGTAGACCACTGGTGACTTACTGAGCAGTTTTGCAAGTGCAGAAAATTCCTGCTTGATGTTAAAGCAAATGATATTACAGAAATATGTTTGTTAAGCACTAAGTACCCACTTGCTTTCTTTAACAGCTTAAGAAATACTCAAGCTTAGTTGTTGTAATGATATAGATGGCTAGTTAATATTTGCTGCTTTGAAAGCCTGTAAATTTGATTAAAGTCTGTCTGTCCTAGCTTTGCTTTTTGTGACTAGAGGAAGTGTTCAGATATATCAGTTTATTAGAAGTTCAGCAGTATGAAAATGTGGAAGTTTAATTTTCTTTCCTTGAAAGAGTTTAACTTTTTTAGTTTTTTTTATACAAAAAATGTGAACTAAAAGGGATTCCAACTCGGATCAAATTTCTTGTCAGAACAACGACTGATTATGCATTTGTGTGCATAAATGAAAGAAGACCTGATGTTTAATGTTTTGGTTTGAAGTCATATATGTGTAATGCTAAATAATACTGAGTTTATAAATACAAAGCTTTTGTTACATTTTCTGAAGTTCTGATACATTCCTGTAATTTTTCTTCCTTTAGCCTTTGAGATCTTTTCTGTAATGATGCCACAGTATGCACTGAGAGCTAAACTGACTATCTCTATGCCAGAAATAAGAATGCTGTTGAGTCTTCCAAGTATACTAGATGAGTCTATATGCTGGGTAGTTTGCCAGAAATTATTTTTAAGTATTGTAAATTTTATTTAATAAATTACTGTATATTATTTAAAAACTCCTTTTAAGTTTTACTCTCCTTGTTTGCCTCTTTTCAGCCCCTTAAAGACTTTAAAAAATGGTATGAAGTAAGGTTTTATTTAAGAGACAACAGATGAATAGGTGATTCGGTTTAAGGAAAAGGTGTTTCAGATTCATGAAGGATAGCTTTGAAGTAATGCAGTTAGGTCATAGTTGTTGGGAAGTAGGTACACACTGGTGCCTGTAGGTACATGTGTGGAGTCTGGAGTGGGAACTATGGCTGCTGGACTGTATGTCCATGGAGGAGGCTGCACAGGTCCTTTCCTTGCAGTGACAAACAGCAAGGAGGAGAGGAGTGATGGGAGCGTGGCCAGCAGTTGTAGCTGATGTCTCCTGTGTTTCTAAGCATACTAGCACCTGAATGTTGGTGGTGAAAGCTAACGTGATACTTGTAAAAATGAAAGAATTGGCAGGGGAAACTATTTCTTAGCTTACACTGTACCCATTTTCTGTCTATGACTGGTTTTGCTGTTTAAACTATGTGTAATTCTTTTTCACTCTTGCAATATGGAATTTTGAAGCATTTGTAGAAGAAAAAAGGAGAAAATATAACTCCTTGTTGACATTAAGCCTGAAAAATGTCTGCCTTTATTTCAAACTAAATCTGAGAACTTCACTGATGCTTCCAAGTGTCTGTTTTGGTAGAGTCCTCCGCAGTGCAGTGTATCTGTGTAAAAGAATAGCCTCAGTCCTTACCCAGCAGAGATTACCCATTGATGACTGTCCCACCCATGAAGATGCCAATGGTGAGGTCTGAGTTACTGCATTTGTACCACTGGTAGGGTCAAAAAAGCTAATGGGCTTTAAAATTGCTGGCTCTTGTCCTGCCTCAGATGCAGAGTCATTGAGAGCAAAACCTTAATCTTTTTTGTGCGGACTAAACCCACAATCTTCTCCTTGTTTATGCTTCTTTTAAATGTTATGTTTATCTCCACAGTTCTGTTGTGTGTTTTTATGAGCAGGCATGCTGTCAAGATAAACTTGCACTGGGAAGCTCTAGATATGCATAAATATTTTTTTCCAGGACATTTGGCTTACTTGAGTGTCTGGCTAACAGTGAGAAGGATAATGGACATGCATGGCAGGCAAAAGAGGGAGCAATATTGACATTTTCTGTAGAATGCTACCTTCTTTGAAATGCATTAATGCATGCCTTTTGAGTAATTCTTTCTAAATAGAAGGAGCAAAGTTAGGCAGGAAAAATGTTTTCCATCCTGTTTTCTGACACTAGTATTATGTACTAGCAGTGCAAAGAGGATGAAGACTTAGGCTTGTCTACTAATATAATGCTTTCTGACAAAGGACTTACACAGTGGGAGGTGACTAGTAGAAATTATTTGGGGATTAACAATAACAACTTCAGTTAGGAATTAAAGGCAGATAAATGCTTTCCATCTGATTTGTAAAAAAGTAACTCATGTAAGGGATGTTAATCAGAGAAAGACTATAACTCAGTTAACAAAATTAATTGAGACATAAGTGATGTAAATAATACACTTTATGATTGTGGACACCCTTGTGTGCTCCTTGGATTGAAGACATTTTGATGATTAATCCAATATTATCCTAGGTTTGTGGATTATTTTCCGTCTTGCTTTTTCCTTAATTTGCAGTGAATGGTTTCTCACTGGACTCTGTACTGACAGTCTCTTAAATACTTTGGTCATTTTCTGTCTGTGGCTGACAACCTCTCTGCATATCTCAGTCTTTATAACTTTGGTTTTTATTCTGCTGTTTTGTGCACTCTAATGGCATTGCACTTCAGCCTTGCCATTGCATTTCTTTCTTTGCTAATATATTCCTAACCTTGTTTTGTTTCATTTCTCCCTTCATTTCTAGAAGCTGTTTGATTAGTTTCTTAACCCCATCTTTCTCACTCAGCTTACTTGCCGAGGCACACATACAAGAGGTCTGTCCTTGCTATGTAATTTTGCCAGAATGTACACTGGAGGTGTTTTCCCTGTGTTTACTGGTGATTTTCTTCTTTTCTGTGCTGGGTATGCTCTGGGTTGAGCCAGGCTGAGGATGATGAGTGTGACATAAGGGACTCTGTCTTGGTTAGCAAAGGACATAACTGCCTTGCTTAGGGTTTGCCACTTAAGTATGTGAGGTGATGGAAAGTAGTTCCCTAGGTCTGCCCCTGCATAAGAAGTTACACTTTGTTTCAGATTCACCCTGCCCTGTTTTGAGGTAACTGATTCTAATTTTTCTGTGGTTCAGCAACATGTAGTGGTTGCTAGACAGAGGCTCAGAAATACCCTTGAATGTTTTCTGTGACAAACAGTACAATCTATGAGCTAATTTAATAGCAGCTTTAAATTGAATACTTAGGTGTAACTGAGTTCTAAGTAGCACCTCTTCGAAACAGTAATATATTGTGTTCCTGCAGCTGAGTTTGCCTCATTTCAAACAGCTCTTTCAGAACTTTCAGTTGTCTTATATTTTTAACAGGCTGGTGGGCATGCTGTAAAACAGCCTATCTGGTACAACACAAGCTAATGAAAAGCTGGAATCCTTTTTATGTTCTCACAGACACTCCAGTTGTGCTAAACTTGATGACTATCACTGCAGGGTTGGAATCTTTATTACTGCACCAAGTGCAATCTGGTACTTGGAACAAAAAGATAAAAACCATTCGCTGTTCTAAAGTAATCTGTAAAAACAGTTACTTTGACTCTGCATCACCTTCCATGATTTATTACTTGCAGTGGAAAAGCTTTGAATTTTTGGGGGAGTCTGTGAAAGTATAAAGTATTTCAAATTTATTTGATGGCTTAAAAGGATTTCTATTCTTAATCTTGGTGATCACTTATGCTATGAATGCTATTGTGTAGCAAAACCTGCTTATTTTATGGTAGTATTCAATTTTTTTTATAACTCCTTTCAAGTCTCAGTCTTGAGTTTTTGTAATAACTGTCCAGCATGTTCACAGACAACACACATATGAAATGAATTCATCAGTCACTGGCATTAAAAAAAAACTTATAAATTAGCTTTAACCACGGTCTTGCACTGTATAAAGTTTTCATCATCCAGTCCATCATCATAGTGTGCAAGTTTCTTGCAGTTCCAGTAAAGTATCACAGTCTCAGGAGAATACTCAGCTGTATGATACTTCTCTTTTTATATGTGATATATATGTGTATTTAAATTTTTTTTTCTCATGTGAGTAAAGAGTCAAGAAATTCCAAGTAGATAACCTTCTTTTCTACTGTTATTTCTTTTGTGTCACGGTGGAAAGATGTAGCTTCTAAAAATGTTACCTTTGACAAAATTAATGGTGGAAAAAGTATGCATATATTTAAATTTAAAAAGCGCCTCAAGCTATTGCTGATGTCAGCTTTAAACGTCATGGAAGTTGCTTGAAAGGAAATTATCCAAGAGCATAATTCAGAAATTTGAATATATTTACCTATTTTTACTTGAAAAGTTAATGGAGAAGGATAATAAACTTGCTGGCTTTGTTGCTTCAAGGCTAAATGCTTGAAATGAGTTTGACTTGAACACAAAGTTCAAAATAGTAGATGCTGGAGTAGAAAATCACAGTAACACACACACAAAAGAAAGTTTGTTTTTGCTGTTTTACACTAGTTTAACCAATCTGTCCCTCCTAGTTTCTAAACCCTACAAGAATGTGGCTTGTTGCTTTTATCTGCAGTTAGCATTTCCCTAACAGTTCTCTGTGTGCTGTTACAAGTCTGTTACAAATGATAGGGCAGCAGCATCAGTGAGCACTTGGGCCTTGTACAGATTTTTTACATTAGTGTTTTGTTCCCTCTTCAACTGTAGTTGTGCAAGATAATGTGTTTTACCCAAAGATATTGAAGTTGATGATTGTTTAACTCTATGCAGGTGAGGCAGGGTGAATAGGTTATATATAGTCTTCAATTTTTACATAATGTTTCTTGGGGGGTAAAAAAGGTAAAATAAAGCACATTTTATATCTTTCTTTCTTTTAGAAATCCACAGAAAATGCAAATCGTTAGACAATGAACTGTCTAAAACAAGGAAATGAAAGTTTGCATTTGGTACCTTTGCTACTTTTATTTAACTGTTGTTTTCACACTACGCTCCTACAGATAGTTTGTTAAACACTTGCAATTGAAAGCCAGCAAGAAAATTATACACTAATACAAAATAATCATCCTTTCCAAAAAAAGAAAACCCAAACACCAACAACAACCTCCCCCCACTAACTTGTTGTATTATTGCTCCACAGGAAACTGTTGTGCTGAAAGGAAGAATTAACTGGTCTTTCAACTTCAGCCTTTTTATTGTGAGAGGGGAGATCACAGAAGTGTTACCATGGGGAGAACAACAGCGAAAGGTAAGGCCTGGTAGCTTTAATCCAAGAGGAAAGAAAGTGAGGAACCTGTTAAATTCTCTTTTTGGAGCTGGTGGGGTACAACATGACAATTTGCTATACTGTTAGATTAAGGAAGACAGTTTGTGATATCTACTGAATACAGGTAAGTTCAAATTTCACATTGTTTTAGAATACATATGCTGAATTTGACTGTCTTGAGTTCTACAAGTTTAATGAAAATAATTATGTCCTGTGATAGCCATGAAACCATTATTGCACTCTGAAATTGAGGAATGTGTCTAGATGTGCTATTAAATAAAGTGTAGGGCTTTATTCTGGAGCTGCCTATAATTTAGCAGGATAATAACTAACTAGTACAAAGAATCAAATTGTGTCACAATGAATGGCATTAGTAACTATCTCTTGAAGATAAAAATGAACATTTTAAAGGAAATTCATCCACAAGTACACTGTACTGTAAAGATGTGGTTTCTGCTGTGTCATGTCTGCAGATGTTGCTTATGAGTTCAGAGCTAAAATAAAGAGTGAGACTTAAAAAACAAACAAGAGTGTTTGGGCTGGTGAAACAAGAAAAAAATATACGAAGAGCAAAAGATCCACTGTCTGAAACCACGTTGCTGCTGCTTTGAAGGCTCCCAGATTGGTAGTGCTCCCCCTTAAAAGGCTGCTAGCACTTTTGTATTTTCCTTGAGCTTTCCACCTTCAACCCAAGCTGCTTTATGTGCTTGTGTGTTCCCTTGGTAAATAATTGTCTTTTGCTAGAATAGATTTTCTGTAATGGCAGGAGTCATTTGCTTAATTGTTGCACCAAGAGTTTATGGAGGAAGTCTGTCCCCTTCTCTTGTAGGTTTTCTGCATGGCTGTTGTCTAAATATAGTCAAAGAGAGTCCCTGTTCCAAGCAGATAAGAATCCTGCTAGGGAAGCACAAAAAGAAAGGAAGCTAGAAATTTCATATTCATTCTGTCTTGATATCCTCAACTGTGTGCATTGAGGCTTGGTGAAAGGCAGCTAAAAGGTGCTCCCAACCCTGTGTAGCAGGGAGTGAGGAGAAGGCCCCTTCCTGAGCAATGCTAAGTCTTGGGCTTGTTTTACTAAACTTCATTTGAGGGGGAGTAGTTGTGTGGCATGGAAGAGCAAAAGTTTTGTTACTCAAAGGTATTTCACATACATCAGGAAAAGACAAGGGTTTGTTTGAGAAGAGTGGCAGCCTGCTATGTTTTGACCACCCAGCAGAGTTGAAGATTGGCTAAGGGGTAGCTGCAGAAGTCTTGAAAGCACGACTGTGAACTTCATTTTCCCCACACTGGACAGCGTGCAAATAACAAGGCTTAGAAGACAGCCCATACATGCTTTCCCATATAGCACACCATTCAAGGATGAAAACTTTTACTGTTAAAAGACATTATGCTTTCTATCACTTAGACAAAACAATCATCTTGTTTGCTGAGAGGTTAAGTCTTCTAGAAAGAAGTTGCAGAGTTTTAAAGCATGTCAGGCAAGAAACTGGAGTTTCGTACAGGAGCTTATAAGAGGAAATACACATTTGTTACCAGGATTATCTTTGCCCAGAGCTTTACTGCTGCCTTCTCTGGTTATTTTTTTTATTTGGTATTCATAAGTCAGTCAGAATAGCTTCGTCTTTTTTTCCCCCTTTGTCTCTAATTTCTTAAGTGATAGATGTGGTTGCTCTTGCCTGTCTTCTGTTGAGTAATCTTATCAGCGAAATTCTGTGGTTACAGATAGGGTGGGAGTAATGTAAACACATGGAGTTTTGAATCAGGAAGCAGAAAGCACTATGTTAAATAATCTTACTCTAATCTTGGCTTGTATCTAAAGCTTTAGCTTATGAAGTGCACTCTAGAAAAGAAATAGTTGATGAACAATATAATATGTTGCTTTTAAAATTTTAGTATATTCTGTACTCTAACCTTGTTACTTTAGAAGAAAGAAATCTTTTATAAGGTATTTAGCCTGTACATAGTATAGGCTAAATATGTATAGATACATAGCAAATATAGAAATGCTATATACTTAAATGTATTACTTTATTTTCAGAACTTTTTTTTAAATTGGTATCCCGTTCTTCATTGTTTTTTTTTAGAGAGCTGAATTGCATTTGATTACGTCCACTTGATTAAGCAGAGTTTCATTCTAACTCTTGTTTTGGCAAATGATCTAGCACATACTGTGTTTTACATTGAGAAGTAAAAGGAAACTTTTCCCTTCAGAAATGGACAGGGGAAGGTAGATTTTAAGCTGACCTATTTTTATTTTGTTACCATGAGCTTCAAGACTCTAGGACTAATAAGTCTTCTGTCTCCAGTATATAAATAGAATTTATATTTTCAAATCAATTTCTCAGGTTTCAAGGAATTAGGCGTTGAATGTGCAAGGGGATGAAAAGAAAATACTCTTTGTACCTGTACAATTATTTACAGGTACATACTATGTCTTTCATTACCTCATTTTTTGAGGTTTGACCTCAAAGCTTGACCAAGCTGAGGATCATGTGCAGAGAGAGTCACCTTGTTCAGCCCAGTGATTTGAATAATAGCCTTCTATTTAATTTTTTTTCTGTGATCTTTGGAAACTAAATTTATTAAAATATGGAAGATCAGCATTTCAAATGTAGATTTGTAGAAAGAAACCCATGTGTTTATAAAAGATTGATATTTGTAAAATTGGTTTTTAAATAAAATCTTACTTTCTTTATAGTTTTTTTGAAAATAAACCATTTTGAAAATAAACCAAAACTGTAGACACACTGTTAGAGAGCTAGGAAAATTACTGCCTAGAAAATCATTCTCAGGCTGGAGCTTCTCCTGCTCTCTCAGCTTCTTTCCCAGGCTAATAGCTTGTTCAGCTTCAGTTAGGACGACTTTCTCCCAAGATAATAACTTAATCAAAATAAAATAAAATTAACAACATTAAATTAACACCTGGTACCAGCCATGGGACTCTTCCTAAACTATGGTCCCACAGGTGTTCTGTCAGTTATCCAATAAACTATTGTCTTGTCTTAACTCTGCAAAACATACTACAAAAAATACAAATTGTACTCTCAATAAATATCTCTTTCCTATCTTAAAAAATAACCGTGTAACGGTATATCCTATTTCCACCATTTCCAAATGGTTAAATCCTTAAACCAACAACTACACAAAACCAAATAAAATAAACCCTAACTGCCAACATTGAAATAAGCACACCTGAACAAGGCTGGGAAGTATAGACTGTGAAATACAGATTGGGGTGGCAGTAGATACAGGGCGTCTCATGTGGAAACAGGTTGGTAATTCTTCCCTCTAGTAGCTTTGCATCTGCTGAGACAAAACCCTCCAGCTTTGTAATGGTATTCGAGCTTCCCACTGAAGAAGGTTGGAATGCATAAAAGCAAGGGGATCCTTTGAAAGCAATCTTGTTTTTATTCAGACTTATGCTTGGATGCTTCTGCATTCTGCATGAGATTTATTTGTGTGTTTTAAAGAAGAGATTTCCAGCCATCAAAAAACAAGTGATAATGACAGTGCTTTTTTTTTATTGGGAATGAAAATGGCTCCACCTCAAATGAATGGTAGTTTAAAATGCTATTGAGAAATCCCCCTCTCATGAATATAATCATCTCTTCTTTTCTCATAGTTTTCTAATGGCTGATAAGAAAATTATGTTTTCAAGAGTGTTTTGTTTCAACTTTCATATTCGCTGTGGTATTTTTGAAAGAATCACTAAAGCTAGCTGGTACAGGGAATAAATAATTTGTGTAGTGATTGTCAGCAAGAGCACATGTGGTGTCCAGGCTGCAGTTTTTCACATTCTTTCACCTGTTCTTGATGTCTCTCATCATGAAAGGCTGTCATCTTGTTTTCAGTCTGGCACTGTTGAGTAGATACTCTTTCATGACTCTGTCCTTTCAAGCTTTGGGTGTTTGCAGGAAGCAGTTACTAGTTCTTTTCTTTCAGCAGAATTCCACATAAGAGACTTACTGATTTCCTCTTTGGACCTAGTCAGATTGGGAAGTTACTTGTTCTGAAAGCTGACAGCCTGATGTCTGTGGTAGTACCATGACTTTTTGTGGGAAAACCTGACTGAGGTTATAGAATGTGGCAAAAGGTCCTGCTGTTGATTACTACCTCCTGGTAGAAAATTAGCTGGATTCAGCTCAGTCCCAAAGAGGCTGGATGAAATATATTTTGACCTGTAGGAGGGAGAAGGTGAACATTAGCCTTGCATCTTTTCAGTGTTACTGAACTAGTTTTAACATTATCCCTTCTGAGATTCCCACAGGCAGTGGTAGGGGTATCCACTTGTGTGGGTTAAAGCACTACTGCTGAGGAAGTACTGGAATTAGAGGTCTGTGGGCACTGCCCCAAATAATTTCAGCAGTTCCATCTGAAGCTGACCTTCATAAGCATTTTTTTTCAGGAACCTATATAATAAAAATTTTTCCAAAGCAAACCTCTTCCAAAAGAAAGACCATGTAAGTCAAGAACGAAGATTAAGTCAAGGAGTAAACATAGCATTTTGTTTCCTCATCAAAGGACTTGGAGTTCTGCCCATGTCTGCTTTAGGAGAAAAAGGTGATATTTTTTGCAGTGTATTTTGAGCAGTTACATAAGCTGTGAATTGATTTTGTAGGACTGTGGAGTCTGGGTTATTCTTGGAATGTGTTGTGGTCCTGAGTACACTAATGGGCTTTAATGACCCTGACTGACCTGGGGCCTCCACCTACCCTGCCTAAGACTCCACGTCAGCCCCTGCCCCAGTGATGCCGCAGCAGTGCCAGTCTCCAGATCACCACAGCCCTGGCCCCATGTCCCATCCCAGCCCCAGCCTGTCTCCTGGGATGGTGCCCAATGCTGGGGCTGCCCCCAGTGCCACCCCCTGGTAGCTCTGGACAAGAGTGATGGGGTGGCTCTGGATGGTGAGGCCCTGCCGGGCCACCCCCAAGGATGCCCTGGCCAGTGCTATGCTCTGGCCAAAGGAGCATCACATCCTACCAAGCACAGAGCCACGTGGATGGCTTATCCTCTCCTCACTGAGTGGTAGGGGAGGATTTTGGGACTGGTGACAGAAGATTGTCATGACTCAGCTCTTGCATTATTTGGCAATTCCTTGATAATGAAAGATGTATGATGGAAGTGTTGAAAACCACACGTTGCTTGTCAGTATGTTTCAAGAAATGCTTTACTTTGAGAAAAGAAACACTGTTAGGGCTTAGTCTTTGCTGCAGAACAACTCATTGTATTTCAAGTGTTTCTGTCACCAAATGCTTCGTGTTCTAGGTCAGGAGTGGTTTTATTTCAAGAGCAAGCCAATCAATAGCTGTAGACTTAAAAGCGAGTGAATACAGCTGTGAGTAATCAGCTGCTAATGCAATCTTGCAGTAAAAGTGAGCCTTCCCTTCACCTGTACCAGTTCAAGCTAAGTGGGATAACCCAAGGTGTGAGCTAGGCATAAGCCTAACTAGAGGAGCAGCCCCATTACCATTACTGAGGCATTTGCAGATCAAGAGTTATTCTACTATGCCGATCTTGGTAAAAACAAAAAAGCTTTTTAAATCGGAAAATGTACTTGCATTTTTGTTGTCAGGTCAATATCATATTTGAATTGCACTCGAGTCCATGAGCATCAAAAGCAGGTCACCAAACAATGTATTTTAAAAGGAATGAGTGGAACTGTCTCAGTCTTCTCCATTATAGCTGCTCAGTTCTCCTGTGTCTCTCATATATCAAAAATGAAGTATGGCAGACCCCTTTGATTCTGTGCCAAGATTAATAATAAAGAAGGTAGACTCTCCTGAATGTTTCTTCTAAATAACTGATGTGTGCACTGAGATAGCTACTTTGAGTATTTGAGAATTTTATACTGAGAATACTGAGCATTAAAGAATCTCAACATAGAATGAAATCTTTAACTCAGAAATACGGTTTTAGGATGGGTTTGTTTTTTCCCTTGTTTCTCAGTTCACAGTGATCTGTATATAATCAGATGTATAAAGATACCCAGTAATCTTTAGGATTTCAAATTGTGTGTAGGTTGAAGTAAAACTGTTAAAAAATAGGGCTGGATTTCTGTCTGTGGAGCTGATACTTTGTATTCTGCAACTGTTTTATTCCAATAATTGATATGAAGTAGTCAAAAGCTCTGCTTTTTCATGCTGTGCATTTCAATGTATTTTTAAGGGAAAATAGTGTGGTAATTAAATTTAGAGTATAGATAACTTTTTGATTATGCAATGAAATGAATAAAATAAAGTCAACAAGATATTTTGTAATTTTTGAAAGCATTCTGTGTTATGCTGGACATCGTTATGATGTGAATATTACATTTATTATGTAATGGAATCTTGTCTTTTAGATTCAAAGAATATTAAAAAAGAGAAAGATGGAAAGAATCAGCAGGCAAACAACCCAGCTTTAAAAAGTGGTAGGTATTGCAGTTGTCAGGTTATTAGTTAAGGTACTGTAAAAGAAAAAATGTGTGTTTGGATTGTACTATTTGCTGACCTTTTTTTTTTTTTTCTACTTGGAATCTCTTGGGTTGTTACTGGTGGGTAGTTAAAAACATACCTTTGCTTTTCTCTAACTGTTAGGAAAGTATAATTTGGTATAGAAAGTGATGGTTGAAACTGCTTGAGTTGAACCTGTTAGTTTTACTAGGCAAGATAAGTACTCTTTGTATGTATAATCAAAGATACTGTGTAAACACTATTATTTTTAAACCATTACTGATTTATCTGTTCTTCTCATCATGTATTTCTCAGTTTCATGCCTTTTCTGCTGCAGTTGCCTTCAATTTCCTTAATGTGTTTCCTGGTGCCAAAAGAAGGATTTTCAGTTTAATAGTCTTGAGTTTTTAGGATTGTAACTGGATTCAATTGCCTGGGATTCTAATTTTACTTCAAATAATTTTTGATTTGAAATAATAAATTTGATTTTAAATAATAAATTATTTGAAAACAGAATTTGTGGGTTTTTTCAGTAAACTAGGAAGAGTGCACACTTACCAGAAATGATCCAGATTCTTAGCTAATTTAGCCTCCACTATCCTCAGCAGGTGCCATAAGGCGGTGTATTGCTGTCAAGGCTGCAGTGGGACAACACCAACATCCTTAGATATGCTGTGCATGTTCATGTTGTTTGTTTGAATTTGGGACAGTAAGAAATGTCATGAGTAGTATTGACTAAAGTACAAAATTTCCTCAGGAGTTCTTGAAGAAATAACACTGAATTATTTAAAGTCTCAGTCTGCTCACTTTTCTGTGCCCTAATAGATGGCCTGGTTCTTCTTGGGTACCAGTGGAGACAAGTAACATATCACTGATCAAACATGCCAGGATACTGACACGTTAGCTGGGTAATTGAGGTAATGACTTTGCATTAAAGATAAAATATCAGTCTTAGTACAGCCTTTGGCTGTTACATTTGCCAGAGCTAATTTTTTCATTTATTGAGATGCTGGCCATCACAGAATGGGTAAGGCTGGAAACAACCACTGGAGGTCATTTTACTCCAACCTGCTGCTCAAGCAGGACCCCCTAAAGCACATTACTCAGGATTGTGTCCAGGAAACTTATGGGTATCTCCAGAGGAGGAGAATCCACAACTTCTGTGGGCAACCTGTCATCTTTATTATTTGTTCCTGTTACTTTGAGCCAGAGAAGAAAGTGTATTTGTGTCTTTTTCCCTCCTCTGCAATGCAAAAGGAGCTCCAGTCAAACTGGACTCAGCGTGTCTGTTTTAAATAGTGTTGTCTGACGTGACAGGCAGAGTGCTGTAAGATACCCCCCCACCATCAAAGTGCTTTTCATATGTGGATAAGATAACCATAGTTCATGAGTCACTGGAAAATGTCCCTGCCTTCTCCTGCAGTTGAGAGCAAGGTGTTGAAAAAGCTTTGTGGACAAGCAGTGCTAAGCAGACAAGCCTTATTCTGTGTTCCATGTTCTTGACTTGGTCTGTGCTGTAAACCTGGGAACTGAACTTCCTCATGAAATGTCAATGCTCAGCTCTGTCAAACAGAGAAGAGTTTCTTGCAACATCCCTGATTTTCTATAGATGAGATCATTTTTATCCTGTGTTGTTGCTTGTTGATGGCAAAGGAGCAGAAAGAGCCTCTTGATGCTAGATGAAAAAAGATGCCATATAATGCTTAGGGCTAGCAACTAGGAAGTTTCCAGGGGAATGTGTGATAGGAAAAGTCAGAGAGAAGATACAGAGGTGTGAGAAGAATGGGTTAAAAAAACAGACTAAATTGAGTAGAGAAAGACATAAGGAGGAGAAAAATTCTGATTGAAGGATCACAACATACAGAAAGAGGTACAAGGTATAAGGCAGAGTAAGTATTAAATACCTTACACTTAAAATACTATATTTGTAAGAGTGTGTGAACAAAAATTAAAAGGAAATCTCATCTTTGAAGAAGAGAGATTGTGGGATGAAGACTAGAAAAGATCCATCTCCCTGTCCAAAGTCTCAGATGGGTGCCAAGGGAACCTAGGGGTGATCTGAGAAGACATGACGTGCTCCATCTGCCCAAACAGTGTTTAGGCTATGGTGGTATTATATTAACCTAAATAAACCAGGACCGTAAATTCTACCAATCTGCAAGTGACAATTAGTAGTTTAAAACTTTTGACTTACACTAAACTGGAGAATTCCATATAGTGAAAAAAGATGAGGAGTACTTCAACAAACTAGGCGTTCACTTATTCATGGCAGCAGATGTGATGCCTCCAGGGGTGCTGAGGCAGGGGACTGATGTCATAAGGAGGCTTCTTTCTCGTTTTGGAGAACTTGTAGTGAGAGAACTTTCACCATGACTGGAAGAGGTTAAATAGTATGCACTGTCAAGAAGGACAAAATGAGAGCAGCTGGGGAATTACAGCTGGCCTGCGTGATCTAAATCTTCAGGAAGATTATAAAGAAAATATTTCTGGAAACCATTTCCAATCAAATAAAGGACAACGATTAGGTTAGGAACAGTGGAGGTAGATTTGCCAAGTGTGAGCTGTGCATGACTGATTACCTTTTGTGCTTAGCTATTCTGGAAACAAGGAAGAGCAGTGGATGTTGTTCATGTCTAGGCTTTCTGTACAGTTTCTGTAGTGTCCTTTCAGCCAAACTGGTGAGGTGTGGTTTGGATAGGTGGACAAAAAATTCGCTGGACTGTCAGGCAGTGTAAGGTCCACCTGACAGATGGTAGCTAGTGGCATTTCTTAGAGGTCAGCACTAGCTAGGACTGATGCTGTTATATGCCTTAGTGTCATATGGGTACGATTGGACAGAACACACTGCCAGACCAGTTTGTGGGCAACATCTAATGGGGCGGAGTAGCCAGTAGGCTGGAAGGCAGGACTGCCCATCAGAGGGACTTGCCAGTGCTGGGGAAATGGAATGGCAGGACCGCGGTGAGACTCAGTGGTGAATGGAGAGTCCCCCTCGGCTGCAGACCTGAGCCCTGCAGCAGCCCAGGCGGGAAGCTGGCTGCCTGGAAAGGAATTCAGCAGGAATGAGCCTAGAGCCCGGCAGGCAGCACCTAAGTGTGGACAAGCAGCGAGCTCTGGTGGCAAAAGACCTCAACTGCATAGGGATCCTGCGGGCAGAACTGCGGGCAGCAGGCAGGGAGGAGGCGTTCACTGCTTCGGGGGATTTGGGAGGCTCTATCTGGAGAACTGTCTTCGGTTTTGAGCTGCACACTACAAGGAAGGCACTGCTGTACTGGAGTAGGCTGGCTTGAAGTCCTGCAAAAATGGAAGGAGCCAGAACGCAAGATGTAAGCAAAAAACTGGTACTGAAGCTAGAAGAAATGTTTATTTTTCAGCTAAAAGAAAACAAAGCTTATGGGAGATGGTCATGCTGTCTTCAACTGTCTGTTAGGCGGATGGAAAGGGGACAGAGCCAGGCTGCTGTCAGAGCTGCGGTGGAAGGAGAAGTGACAAATACTGACTGGACCATAAGAAATTCCTCTTTGATGAGGAAATCTTCACATTGACTCTGATGGAACCCTGGAGGAGCAGGAGGCTGAACTAGAGACCTGGATCCCTTCTAGCTTGAGTTACTTTGGGATTGGCAAGTTTAGCAAGAAGTGATAGGGTATTGATACAGCATTGCAGAGAGCATCAAGGGTCATTGACCCATGGGTCAGTGCCAGTAATGCAAGCAACTGTGATAAAAACTCACTCCTTCCATTTTTAAATTAGTCAGGCTTTTTGCCATTGCTGCTTGTTTTGAATCACTATTTAAGAGCCTCACTCCCATGCTGATTATAAACTAATGTTTTTTTCATTTGCAAAAGGCTCTAGTTACCTTCTGGCGTGGGTTTTGTTTTGTTCCATTTACAGTGTATGCTGGTTTGTTCTTCAGCATGAATTTTTTTTTCTCTCTAGTTTTCATTTTCCTAGTGGGTTATAAAGTTGTGGTTGTTGCATAATGGTCTTTTCTTAAGCTGTTTATTTCAGCCTGAAGATTTGAGTGTGAAGAGAAATGCACATTAAATTATTTAGTATGAGCTAATTTTCTGAAGGATTTCTGGTAGTCAGAAGCTGCATATTTTCAGGGTCTTTAGAATTAGAAATATGCTTCTTTACAATACAATTGCTTCTTTACCTGTGCACTCTGAGAATACAGAGAAGCTTTCATGTAGGTATTTTTTTAATTACTTATCTTTCTAGAGATGCATCTTACATGTTGCAAACATACATGTGTCTCTTATTTCTATAACTGCAGTAATTAAACGATAATTAACACCATCTCTGAGAGCTTGGCTGTAATTTAATGCAGTGTATCTTCACAGGTGGAGAGCTTCTAATTTTAACTCCAGGACATTTCTGCTTGATGCAGGAGCTTTTGATAGCTAGGATTTAAAGGAAAGAGCTAGGCAATGTTTTTTCCTCTTGGTTTTATTTTCAGCTGACTGCTTGTGTTACCTTCTGTGTCTTTCTAGTAAGTGTTCCCTAGAAAAAACAGAACTGTTTCTTTCCCTCTGTATTTTTGGTCATCCTACGAAAATTGCCATCCTGTTATTAAAATTGAGATACTTTGGGAAATACTGCTTTATAATTTTTTTGGAGGAGGTGAGTGATGGTATCTCCTGGTAAATGCAGTGTCACTGGAGTGTCTATATTTGTACAGTCCTTATAACAATGAGGCTATGATGCATGACTACAGCTTTTACATCAAGTTAAAATTGTAATCTCAGATCTGAGACAGCTGGGACACAATTAATGTTTTCTTTTGGCTACATTTAATTATGTAGAATTAGTACTTTATTAAGGTAAACTCTGATTTTAAAACTTTTTTTTTCTTGTTTTTAAATCAGAAGGCAACCTGAAGGGGCAGCTTTATTGTGAGAGTCCAAGAAGAATTTTTATAAGATAAAGCCTTTGCTGTCATTTCATTATAATTAATTTTTGCACCCTCCTTGGCCTGTTAATGACAAAAGCAACAAACCTGGAGCCTACTTTCTGGGGAAAGCTCTGAAGAGCTATTTCTGCCTTCCTGAAATACAAATATATATTTAAGTTAATGTATCCTGCCTTTTGTAAGTAATACAAAATCAGTGTTACTATATAAATGTGTAAATAAAATTTTAATTCCAAAAGACGTGAAACTCCAAGATGTTGTGTGAAAGTGTCTTTGTTACCAGCCTGCATATATTCTAGACCACCAAATTAACAGCTTTTGACATTTTACTGACTTGTTACTGACTTCTCACATAGCTAACAAGCACATGGCTTCTGCAGTGCCAAGGACTAATGACTCGTACACTTTTGAGTCTGTTTCACCAAAACCCAGGACCTCAGCAGGCCAAGGGGATGATTCCCTTTTGCTTGAGGCACTTGGTATTGTCAGCTGAATGCTGTGCTGCTGCAGGCAGGCTCTGGGTTTGAGCCACAACACATCCTTCAGAGAAGCTGCGTGCGAGTGCTGGAAAATGCTGCCATTTTCTGATTGTTTCTTTGCTTCTCCTCTCTCCTGAAAACTGCAGAGATAAGTGTCTGTGCCCAGTGGCGTTTTTGGAAGAATTACTGGCGCACCCGGAGCTCTCTCTCCCTCATCCCCAGGGATTTTGCGTTTGGCCGTGTGAGTGGCTCTTGCTGAGCCGCTGGGTGGCATCACTGCATCATTTTGGGTTCATCAGTGCTTCATTCTTCAGGAACATCAGAAAGATGCCAGCTGCCCAAACAAGAAAAAAAAAAGCAAAAGGGCTCTTTAAGATAATTTAGTAACAAAAATATTAGCTGTGCCATTGTAGCTTTTGTCTTACACTTTATATTAAAATAATTAATATGCTTGCTTATATCTTTCATGTTGGTACTTCATATGTTTTCCATTCATGCAAAACTGGTAACACTAATTAAATCAAATAGAGAATCCACTTGCCCATACACATAAACAATGACACTATTAACAGTGGAAAAAATACCATGATTTTGTTACTAAACATTGCCATAATGTTTACCTATATGTTCTATATGACATGATATTCTACAAAAAGAAACCTTTATGTGACTTGAGATAAAAAGAGACAAAGATGCAGTTGGAAGGCTATGCTAATCTTTTTTCTTTCTAGTGGGTAGTATTCATAGCATATATTTAACAGTATCCATGTGTCTGTGTTTTTCACTGTATATCATCTCAGTACTCATGTGAGGTTATCATATCAACCCTGCTGTTATGGGAACTAAGATATAGCAAGGCTAATGTGATTTATATAAGGCTGTTTGGGAGATCTTTATGCAGAGAATTGAATTTAGATATTCTGATTGGGATCATTTTGCATGTGAAGCACAAAAAAACTGAAGGAAGGTTTATATTAATTTTGCCATTGTGTGTTCACCCCCATAAATTAACATTACTCTTGAAGCTCCTTCAAGGTCTGTATGTATTTCAAAGGTGGAGTTTTCATTTGAGAATTATTCTGCTCTTGAAAAAGATGTATTCTGTAAGATAGCTGGGTTTTCTGTCCCTTTCTTTCCTCAAATCCTCATTTAAGGTCCCTTCTAAAAAAATTGTGTATATGGTCTTTTTTTATCTTGTGTCTTCCAGAACAGTTTAATTGGGATGATTATCTGAAAGAGACTGAATCAGTAGCTGCCCCTCTGCATTGTTTCAGACAGGTATGCCAGAAACTATTTTGCAAGTGTGTGAGTATGTATGCCTGTTACAGGATGATCTTAGAAAGGCTTTCACATTTAGACTGCTTGCAGACTTCCCATTTGACTTCTTTTGATCTGTAGTTATCAGTAGCTTACAGTTTTGGCAGTTACTAGCTACGGAAGTTTCTTCGTTCCTGGTTTCTGCCTCAAGCCAAATTTTGAGGATTTCATTAAAATTGTATCTTTGAACTCTGATTTCCTTTAAAAAAAAGACTAGTTAATGTAAACAGATAGCCTTGTCAGTGTTCAAAAATGTTTTCTACTTTTTTTCAATAATCTTAGCACTACCATGGTTTTAATGAGAATTAAAAATTTGGCTGATTGTCAGAGGAGTTTTTCCTCTGTTCTGTTTTTGAAAGATTTGTTTCAATTCTGTCTAGCTATAAAATGTGTGTGTAGTAGAGCTTAGTCACCACTTTTTTCTGGATCTCTAGTATGTTTGATTTATCTCTTTCTGAACAGAGTGCTTTCTTCTTAGGTGTAACAGATAGTACAATTTAAAAAATATCAAGTGGAATATGTGGGAATACAAAGGAAATACTGGATTTATAATAAAGGGGGTTTAATGTACTATTTTGTATTACACTATACCCTACAGGTTTGATCCCCCCTACCTGATGGTTTGGAATCTATTTGCAGATGCAGTTCAAATCTACCATCTTGTGTAAGCTAATGGCCTCCAGTTATTCAGCCCTCTGGAGACTGAGTCAATCTCTTTAGGCATCTTTCTCTTTGTTTTCCCAAGATAGGTGTGTCTTGTGTGTGTAAAGTTAGATAGGATTCATTTTGGTCTGTGTGCCCTCACTGTGTTAGAAAGATAGTTGCTAAGGAATTGATTGTTCAGGTTCATAGAAGTGTAATAGGTGTGACAAGCAGTGCATGTCTAGTTTAGTGGCTTGGGCATGTTCTGAAATTTTTTTCTAGAGTCTGTTGGTGGTCTGATTGTACTTTAAATGATACTGGCCTCCAGTGGGGGCCCAAATAAAAAACAGCACGAATTGAATAATCTGAGATGGAGAGGAACCATCACTCAGTGAGTCTGAAGCAGTTGCAGGCATGGAGAATAAGGAGAGAGAAACACAGGTGGTCTCATTTCCTCATACTAGATCTTGAATCTCAGCTTGCTTTTTGCAGATGAGGCTAAAGGCAAAGAGCCCCTCTCATGCTGCTTTCAATGAGAGGTGGCTAAAAATGCTGGTGTCCATAGCTCTGAGTGGAGCCCCAGAAATTAATTTCACAGTATGTGTTTTTCACAAGGCAGACACCTCAAACTCCTCCTGGGTAGAGGCAGAGGGTGGTGTATTGTCCCTGGATCTTTCTGAGGTTAATGCCATACTCACAGATCATAAACCACTGTGACCAGAGTGTGTGCTCCCAAGGGATGTAACTACTGTGGAAAGCTGCTCAAAAGCCTTTCCACGTGCCTTTCTTGCATCTATCTCTTCCCTAGTAATGCTCAAAAAGTCTGAACTGAGCAACCAAATAATGCCTTGAATAGAGGTGCTTAGGTGACATGCATTGACAGAGATAAATCCAAGGATTGCTTAAGGAGTGTGTGAGCTGGAAAGAGCTTTAATTTATGTGCGTAGCAAATTTCAAAACAATTTGCATATGCAGATTTTCAGTTTTTCTAAGAGTCGAACTTTAAGTAGAAAGTGATAGGCAGTGGTGATAAGTGCAGAGCTGGATCCTCTCACTACATAATGTTTGCAGATTTTAGAACCCTAAAGTGCATGTGCTTTGTGCAGGACTAATATGACTTTTATTGGGTTATGCATGAATTGTACATGTCATTATTACTCTGTATAATGCAAAGAAATACACTGCTGTGGCCAACCAGAAAATAAAGAGCAGAGAGAAACTTAATTTGGCAGTTACATCCAGAATTTGTGACTTGTGGGAATTTTGAAAGTTTAAATTTTGTCGTAATTAAAAATTACCTGGGAAACAATAAATTAAAGCTTCTACCATAAATTAAGACACAGACAGCTAATGGAAATTGATTAAAGTATTTATCTTAATTTAGAAGGTATTTTATCTGTTGCTTTAAGTTGTTTTCAATAACTACTTAAATTTCAATGCACTTTATATTTCTTTTTCTTGCCCTAAAACTTCTTCCCAAGAAATTGAAAATTTTAAATGTAAAAGCTCAGTCCCTTGTTGTTTGAGCAGAACTTAAAGCAAGGCTGTTACTGAGCGAGGTTTTGTTATTTTATTCAAAGACAAGCTAGCATGGAGGACTTACCTTTTTAGTAGAATGCTTTGAGTTGTGGGTATTTAAACAAGCTCACCTTCTCCACAAAGAAACAAACTCCCCAGTTTCTCAATTTCTGTTGCTTTTCTTGGTTGTACAAAATAACAGCTTGACAAGCAATATCCTGAAATTGAATTGCCCTTTAAATTTAATATGCTCGGGCTCCCCTTTCAGCCAGCCTGCTGTCTGAGTGCAGCACTGGCAGATGCTCACTGAATTTTGCTCGCCTCTTTGGCTTTTGGGCTCAGGCACTACCAGGGCTCCTGCTGTTGATCTGAGGTGTGTTGCAAAGAGTGCACCTGCACAATATAGCAAGTAGAGCAAGATGTATTTTACGGTGGAGAAAAAATACCATTAACACTTGTTGCGGATTCCTTCTGTCTTTTCCTGTGTCAGCAGACCAGTAAAAGCACTTTGTCTGCCTGCTGTGGGATCCCCACCTGACATGGTTGGGCAGGCACAAGAGGACATAGGAGTCCTTTGAGTATGAATGGCCATGGTTTTGGGTATTCTAATGTGCCTCCTGTATTAGAAGTCAGACTGTGTTAGTCTGAATGAGGTAGCTGTTGGGTTTAAATGTCATGGGCAAGGCTACTTACAATTCTGGGCGTCTGTAATCAAAAACTACTTTGTACTGAAGAGTTGTAGGGAAGAGCTTCCAGGGTGATAGGAGAATAGTTATCATCTCCTAAGAGAAATTTCAGTACTTGACTGACTTACATTGTTGAAAGGGTACTGATAAAGAGTCAGTTGTAGCTTTTGTTTCATTTTCTAAGGTGCAAAAATAAATGAAAGGATAGTGTTGGCCAAAAATTCCATCAATAAAATTTAAGCTGGAAATGAGGAGACAATTAAAGAGAATAGTGAGAGGCATTCCATCCCAGATAGTGATAATACAAACTTTTGAATATCATTAGGGAAAGTCATTGCCTGTAATATGGCAAGTAATCAGACTGCAGTCCAGTCAATCTCCGCCCATAGTGTGTTGATACATGAGTTAAAAGTATCCTGGTTTTTTTCATCTTTAACGTGAAATGGTTCTGCCTAAAGACCAAATTGCATTTGTCACATTTATTTTCCCTGTGCTAATTAAATTAGCATTGCATTGTATGTTTATGATTATATTCAGTCTCTACAAATAAGCACAAGCTACAGTTTTTGTCTTAGCACAAAATTTTTATACAACTTTAGGACTATTTTCTTTCTTCAAAATGTTTGCACTAACTCGGTTTTCTGTCTTCTTTCTTTGTAATGTCAACTTTTTTTTGATACAGAAGTATCCAAATTTTGTTTAGATTTCCAAAATATTACAATGAGGATAATATTTATTCGAATTGGGAGCTAATACACCTTGTGGTTGGGATTTTTTTGGATGTGTGTGTTAGTTTGTGTATTGTTTTTTGGGGTTTTTTTGAGTTGAATGTCATGTTTCCTAATGTCCTTGTATTCTATTCACTTCACTGCTCCCTATCTTTTTGTTCATACCTTCATAAAGATTCCCTTGTTACCCTTCTTAGCATCCTTATCTTTTTAGGAATCAATCATGCTTATGCAGTCGATAGGTTATCCAGCTGCCTTTTCTCACTTGCTGCTAGACACTCAATGTTTAAAAGCTTCTTCATATTTATCATTTTTATGATAAGTTTGGAAGAAGTAAACCTTTATATTGAACTGGTTGGCAAATTTAGTAATATTAACAACAGTAAGAAAAAGTCTTTTACCTTGTATTGTAGTCTAGAATTCCACCTACAAATGATTTCAAAGTTGGCATGAAACTGGAAGCCCGTGATCCTCGCAATGTTACCTCAGTTTGTATAGCTACAGTAATTGGAATCACGGGTGCCAGGCTAAGGCTGCGGCTGGATGGAAGTGACAACAAAAATGATTTCTGGAGGCTTGTGGATTCCTCAGACATACAGCCCATTGGGACCTGTGAAAAGAAAGGGGGCATGCTCCAGCCTCCACTTGGTAAGTAACAAAGCTGCTGAGCAAATGTGTGCAATATAGCTTTCAGAAAGTCATATGTACCTTTTTGTCTTGGCAAATTCAATGATATGAACATTTCACCAAACCATTTTTTAATTGAAAAAGAGGTAAGTAAACTAATTTTGGATAAGTGAATTGTGGCTTTTTCTTATTTTTTCATTCTTCTGAAGTAAGAATGAGCAGTTTTGTTTGTTGTTGTTTTTTAATAGGCCCTTAGTCTTAAATGTGCCTCTTCTTTAAATGCTCCCAGACACACAGCCTGCCTGATGTGTGTGTATTCAGTGTTTTGTTGCATGGGGGCCCTCGGAAAGGGCTGGAGAAAGCCAAGTTGCCCCTTTACTCTTCATCAGTGCATCCAAGCAGCTCACAAGAGGGCACTGTCTACTACAGGCCTGGGAAGCCTCAGCAGGCCTGCTGGAGGCACATCCCTGCAGGGCAGTCAGGATGTTTCCTTGGGCACCCAGAAAATTTATTGTGTTCTAGAACAGGCAGCAGAAGGTGGGTTAGTGCAGAATTGCATCTTTCTGCTCTGAATTTTTACTCTGAGGTAGTAAAAGCAGCAGTCCAGAGCTCTAGAAAACTGCTGGCTTAGACTGCATGATATTCTCATTGCCTCAAATCAAGATATATGTTCAGGAATGTCAGATCAGTTCATCATGGCTGGTTTGTGAGCACAATGAATTCTTGTGAACAAGATACAGCTTAGAAATATCATGCAGAACTTCTTTTGTCTTCCATGAGCAATATGAGTGACAACATTGTGTCTCCCCAAACTGAGAAATAGTGCTTACGTTTAGCCTTACTGGGGAAGTTTATTGTAGGGAATCCTACAAAGCAATTCCTTGTTACCTGATGAATGGTCAGAGGTAACTTTGACTAAACTGCTAGTGGTGGTAAAATGTGACATTGCCTTTCTTTGGTGTGATTAACCTGTATATTTAGATATGCATTCTTGTATTTGTCAATAGCTTAAACTCTATGTATGGAAATATTTAAAGATTTCACAATGATCTGCAAATAGTTTTGTTTTTAAGAAGGAAGAAGAATAATGGCCAAAATTTACCTGAACACTCTCTCCCCTGTTATCTTATGATCTTCTGTAATTTTTAGAAGATGCAAGAAATAATAAAAATAATAAATTGTAAAATAATAAAAAAATTAACTGTATACAGAAATTGGTTGCTGCCACTTTTCCATCAGTAATTCTTAATTCTCACTGGAGATTTAGTAAGGGTAGGGTATGCTTTCTTTCAGTAGCCTCTCAAAAGGCTTGTCATCCTGCTTTGGAAGTAACATCCAGTTTTTCTGTTTGAAAAATGAAGTGAAAAGTATTATTTCACTACAATATGAATCTTAATTTGCTTATGGAGAGACAGACACAAAACAGTTGACTTAACCATTAAGACACTTCACACACATTATAAGGGTTGATTTTGTGCTGCTGTGCTCCTTCATAAACACAAGAAAAGCAATTCAACCATGGTGCCAGTGTAGAAAAATATTGCTTATGATAGATACAGTTTGAGCCCAGAAGGGTTTTTTCCCTTCTTTTCAATGGATATATAGAGGTTTGGAATGAAAACACTGGAAATTCCTGACATTGGGGAAAAAGTTTATTTTCTTTTTTCCATGAAGTTTCTCCGTTTAACCTCTCTGAAGATCCTGATACAACCCTCTAGAATGAATGAAGTGATGCCAGTATAAAAAATGCAATAGTATACCTGTTCCTTCAGCTGCACACATGAACAGTGTTAAAAACACGGCTTCAGGAGCACAGCAATTTTTAAAATGTGTTTCTAAACCAGAGTGATGAATAAAACAGCTCTGGTTATATGTGATGGGGGCATCTGGTTCCTTAAGAAGAGAAGCTTCCTATGACCATCAGTAGAAAGGTTGATGCCTTCTCCTTAGATACTGTTTCTTACTCTTAGCTGGTCAGGTTGCCTGCAGTGCAGTACCTAACAGGCAGCTATTTCCCTGCATCCAGGTATGTAAGGTTTACCTGGCCTCTGAACAATTGCTGATTTTACAGGAAAGAATGTGAGTGCCACTCTTTTGGCCCTCCTGCCCTAGATTTTTCTAGAGATAGGCTGAATTCCAGCAATCAAACATTCTGGCATACCTTGATAAATTTTTGAAAAAGCCTTTTTGGCAGTTTTACAGCATCATGTTCCTGGGTAAAGCTGGGAGCTAATTGGGTGTATAATTACCTCCTGTTAGACATTTAACCAACGGATTTTTTTTTCCTTGGTAGTAGGGAACCTTTTGGATACTAATGTTCTACTTTATCATAATAGCTAACTAAAATAGACCCTCCTACCTGATTTTTACATGACTTTAATTATGCATGTTACATAAGGGTTTTGAGAAAGTGGTTATTGCAACAAAGTGTTCCTGTTCCAGCTGCTGTTTTCCATTGGTGAGCTTTTTGTTGCCGAGAGCTTAATGTTCTGAGCAAATTATGTTGCAGATAGCATTTTCTCTGGTTTTACCCGGACAATTTAAAGGCCAAATGAAGTTAATTGAAGCTGTTGTTTAGTTGTCACTCCTCTGTCTTGCTTATGTATCTTTTCTATGCTACCTGGTTGGGAATGTTGTGTTTCAGTAACCACACATGTTCAGGTTTTATAAAGACTGGTATGAAACCAGGCCTCACAATTAGCTCAGTGGTCCCCAAATTATGAGACTATTTATCACATAGGAGTTCTGCAGTAATTTAGGTGTTGCATAGGTAGTTCTGGCTTGAAAACTGTTTATTCTACTGAAGATAGCCTAAAGCTGTGAGTTAAAGAACCACTATAGCATATAATAACATTTTAGATGAGTAAATTATTTAACTGATTAAGAATTGCAGATATGTTCCACCTTTCTATTTACAGATTTTAAAGACAATTGTTAAAGATCAGTTATGAGGGAACTCATGAGCACTTGGCAGATTATGGTGCTATTTCCTTTGTGGAAAAAATTCCAATTTGCTGTATTACGTCTGTTTCTCTGCAGAACTGTTCCAGACATCTAACTGCTAAAGAAGCAGAAAAAAAATGTCCACTGTGTCTGTTATCTTACTCATTACTTTAAAACATTCATTTGGAAAGCAAAGAAAGCAAAAGGATTTTTTGTTTGTTTGATCTTTTAACTGGAAGGTGGTTGACTGTAAGGAAAGATTATCTGGAGTAAGAAGGTTTTCAGCTAAACCTTTGTTCTGTTTGAATAAGGTAGTTCATCTAAACAAATCTGATTGTTGTATATGATTTTTTTATTCACTTGTTAATGAAGAATAATAAAAGAGATTGGTTTATGTTTTTCAATATGATACATGATTTATTAATTTTACCTTTTTTTGTTCACTCTTAGATATTCTTTGTTTTTATGGCTATTTATGTATTTGTTTTACTGAGGGAGGGAAAGAAAAACAGTTGCGCTGGTTTTTGTCTGTGGTTTAGTGAAAGAATAACAAGATTCTCAAAAATATAAAAGTATCTTCTCAATAAATGAGCTAGAACCTAAAGAGAAAGCTAGGTGCTTGTGCCAGGGAAGTTTCACAGGACTAGAGTCTGTGTGGGACAACCTAATGGTCTCCTGTACTGGGACTTGCATATCATTAAATCCTCAAAATTAATCTGTAATACCTGACGTTATGATGAGTGATTTTGCAGGCAAGTCACTCAGAATGGAAATGAATCTCACAGCTTTCTGCAGCTACAGGGACCATGTTCGTTTCTTCTTAGCTACTTCTATTTCAGCCAAGTCTGAAATAGAGTGAATGAGGCATTAGTAAAACAGACTTTATAACCTTTCCTTTCTATTGTATTTTACAAACTGAAAGTAGGGCCATTTGTTTGGGGTTTTTTTGTCCTCAGGGTTCCAGATGAATGCATCCTCTTGGCCAATGTTTCTCTTAAGAACTCTCAATGGAGCTGAAATGGCACCTGCAGCATTCTTCAAGAAGGTAAGAAGAAAGGCATTTCTAGTAAACAACTTCTATCAATTGGTCCATGGTTACATTTTTTAATGAGGAAGCTAAGATATTACTCTGTTGTCTGCAGCAAAGACAGGGAAGGCAAGACTATTATTTAAAATTACTTTGAACTGGATTGACATGTTATGGAACTAGACAGAAAGGAATCTTCTTCTAGTCCATAGAGAAGGCCATTTCTTTTCCCAAGCTGAGACTTCAAAGTATGGTGTGCTATTTAGAAAAACTTTGTTTGCTCATTTTTTCTCTCATGGATTTTAGGTAAAATGCATAATACATTTCTTAACAGCACTGTAGTCAATGTGCACAGGAGTAAAAAAAAAATTAATAGGGAATGAGAGCCATTGGAATACAGTAGTGCTTGGAAAGGTTTTGTTAAGCATTTTCAGTGGGCACACACTCATTTAAAATGTAGTGAGAAAATAGTTGAAAATAGCAGAAAAAGCCATTTGCTTCTTTAAACTCTTACTCTTGAGTAAGTTACTGTGAAATACGGAAAATTATATAAAAATAACAGTAATATTTAAATGACTTGGTTCCGTTTTTTGTTGAGTTGACCTTATTGTCATACCGACTGCGTTCTTTTTGGATACTGAGAGTGATACTGACAAATATGTCAGCAAATCAAACAGTTGGGTTCAGGCCTGCAATCACATCACTTGGTGTTAATTTCATATAATTATAATTTTTTTTAGATAAGATAATATAAATTTTCTGAGGCATGATGAGCCATGTTTCTCAGTTCTAGCCTGCAGCACATCTGAGATGGGCTTGGATAATAAAGTTCTTGAGGATGAGTTGGTAATTTGTGTTCTGTTAGATCACAACTCCTGCTGTGGAGGTACGCTTATGCCAGTAACATTCACTTGATTTTTGTTTTTCTTTTGTCCACTTGGAATTGGTCTAAGGCCAACTGAGTTAACAGGGGCCTATAAATAATGTCCAATGCTAATGAATTTTTCATGGATTAATTGAGAGGTAAAGCTTTTACCGACAGTTATCAGTCCCCAGAAATATCCATGCTCTGCAAACCTCTTCTTTATTAGCATGTAATAATTTCATTTTAGTGTCTTGGCTGTCTTGCTGCCCAGACATAATGTATTAGTTGCAACCTATTGCTTATGTAAATACTTTTATCAGGGTCTTTCTGTCATGGAGAATTTTGCTAATTATCCCAGCTGTGTTTGGGGGAATAGCATAAAGATTTTTGTAGTGCAGAAGAGAAAAGGCAAATTTGAAATATTAATAAGTTCCCTTGAATGTGTTCCTGAGAGTAGTGACTATAAGTAGTAAGAATGTTAGGGAAAAATAAAGGTCTGTAACTTAGTTTTGGTTTGTTTTTTTTTTTCACGAGGTCATAGAAATAAAAATATTCTACCATGCTTATTTTTGTAGGAACCGCCAAAACCTGTGCCAAACTGCTTTAAAGTTGGAATGAAACTTGAAGCTATAGATAGAAAGAACCCATACCTGATTTGTCCAGCAACCATCGGAGATGTTAAAGGAGATGAAGTTTTTGTTACATTTGATGGCTGGAGAGGAGCATTTGACTATTGGTGCAGGTGTGATTCTCGAGATATTTTCCCAGTCGGATGGTGTAGCTTGACAGGAGATGCATTACAACCACCAGGGAACAATGGTAAGATGACTAATAATATTGCTTAATTGTTTTTCTCCTCAATTACAGCAGAATTTTAAAAACCAGCTGGCTGTATGCAGATAAGACTGAAGATTTGATTTGTGAGTAGCAGACGAGGATGAAATGTTGTTGAATTTTCTTTATGTAACATAAAGCTAATAGAAATTGCTGGAAAACAATTTTTGCCTGTTCATAATATCTCTGGGAACATATTTTATTTAATACTGTTAGGAGGACTTCTGATGACCTCTAATTTTTGTGTGCTTGTAAAGAATCTTGAACTAGATTTGCTGTTTGTATTATTGATAGATACATGCTCCTGTTTAGTGATAATAATTTATTAGCTGCTGCAGCTCTTTATGTTATGCTAACTGCTAAGTAAAGTAGTCTTTCCTTCTGTGATGATTGCAGGTCTCAATTATATATTTAGTGTTTCTGCTTTCATACTCAGAAAATTCTGTCTTGTAGCTGCCTATTCTAAATGCTTTGTCGTCCTCTTTGCTTTAGGGATGTTTGTTGATCAGATGGTACTGTCTCTAACTAATGGCCACTTTATAATGAACAACTCTCTGTCTTAGAAAGAAGGGAAATAGCATGAAGAGGGATATCCCTTAGTGTAATCCCTTTGCTTCTCTGGTGATTGCTTGTCAAGTTTCTGTAGTATAAGACTTTTCTGTCAAACTGTTTGAGCTTTTCTATCGTCATCCCATACAAATTTGTCAGGAAGAGAGGTTTTGAAGGAGAGGAATCATATTTTAACTAATTTCTTTATCAACCAGAATAATTTGTTCTCGGTGTGAATTTTCACAGGTGGTGTTATGTGAGTAAGGAACAAGTAGATTGGTGTCACAGAACTCTCAGTGGAAGTAGGAGAGGAACAGAAGCAAGAAGGCAAGAAATCATAATGTTTCTTGGCCTTTCCATCCCCATTGTTTTTCTTAGTCTTTTGCTAGCAGATCAAGGACTGTAAGGAAAATCTAATTGGAATTAGTTAAGGGTACCTCTGCATCCTTGCTCTCACCTGCCTATCTGAAGTTGCTGACAGGGGTATAGTACCTGGAACTGAGTTGAGTCCATTCTGGCAGATTTCAGCAAAGGAGTAACTATGTGTGCAGCTGTACTGTTCAAAACAATCTGCTGATACAAACCTGCAGTGAGAGGGAAGGAGAAACTCAGGTGAGGACGATGTACGTTTGATCAGAAGTCATCTAATAAGTACCACACTGACCTTAGTCTTAATGTTTCTGTGCTCTCAATCTCTAAAGTGTCCTTCTCAGCTTCTTCGGGGTTGACCTTTTCTTTGGAGATCATGAATGAGATGTGTTATTACACTTAAGTTAGTTATTTCTTTGCTGTGGGAGTGACTGTGCACTGGAACAGATTGCCCAGAGAAGTTCCAGCATCTCCCTTACTGGAGATATTCCAGAGCTGTGTGGACACAATCCTGTGCCATGTGCTCTGGGGTGACCTTGCTTGAGCAGGGAAGTTAGACCAAATGACCCACTGTGGTCCCTTCCAACCTGACCCATTCTGTGGTACACAAGAGGGGCTGTGTAAATAAGTGGCATAGAATTTTTAAAACATATTTTTGGGACAGTTTAGATTACTGAGTCCAATTTAATCTTCTGGAAAGAAGACTATGAAATTGTTTCGTTTACTCCAATTTCACCGCTGGAAAGCCAGTGATATTTTGAGGTAAGACATACCTCAATAATCAGGCAAGAATGTTTTCTTGCCAGATTAGTGCTTGATAGAGCTCAAAGTTGTTTGACAGTAAGTAAAGCTGGTTATGTAATCCAGTTCTTCAGGTAATAAAACAAACAAAATATCAGATAGATACTGAAATACCTTTCCAGGTAGGATAATATTGCATTTTAATGAGAAAATATAACACTCTAGGCATTAATAAAATCTGAAGCAAGGTTCTTGCTGACTTGTAGTTAAAACTGAGAATTTTGGACATGTAATAGAAATTGAGTGCAGAGAGGTGCAGGCTGGAGTGTTTCTTTTTGATTCCAAAAGTGGGCCCAAAGTTAACTGCAGTTTTATTGAAATTGTGTATTCATTTTTTCTCTATTCTGAGCACAAATAATTTGTTATCTCTATTTTGCTTTGTGTTGTTATTTTTATTTATTTAATATTTTATGTTTGTATGTGTTATAGACACTTGTTGAATTTACATATCTGGATGAAATATTTTTTGCTCTGAGGTTAGGTTTCTCACTGTTACTTGATTGCTGTTGAGCCGTTAAAGAACTGCAATGACAATCCTTTATTAAGATGTAAATAATAGCTTCAAGAAGAGTATAATCAAGTCATTTCAATTCAGAAATATGATGATGTTGTCAGGATTCTTCATTATGTCACACACTGTCTACTTCTGTTAAGGGAGAAAATATGACAGGTACTACATTGCAAGGATTTGCTTGGACTATGGAAGTGTTATTCTGGTCTGGACCTTTTTCCTGCTGGTTACCTCAGTATTTCTGGCTTGAATTTCTACAACAGAAAGTGAAAATAATTGACCTAAGAGTGGCTTGAATTCCAGAGTGAATATGAAAAGTATTCTTGATTTTTGTAAAACTGGAAGCATTTAAATGTGTTAAATCACTACTTAGACGGTTGAAAAAAACCAGCCTCAGATTTTAGTGATCATGCAAAGCCAATATCCTGCACTCGAAGTACGAAAGCAATAAAGGGTGCTTTAAATTTAATTCATATCTAGGACAATAGGACAATAAGTTCCTGCCATGAGGTGTATTTTGGAGTCTAATTTGTCCTTTTGAAAGGGAGATAAAATGCAGTAAGGGAGACAATATGAAAATTAGGGAAGTTTTTATTTCAACTGTCTACTGTCTTAGCCTTTTAGGATGCCCAGAGAGAATGTAGGACCTCTGCCATGGGAAGTGTTTAAGAACAGGCTGCTAGGATGTGGGGGAGTTTATTCAGACCAGATTATGTGTTATTTTTGCTCTTTATAACTGCATCTTCTGTACCTCTCATTGGTATTAGACAGCTCATGAGCTAAGATAAAAGATAATACAAAGATGTTAGGTCAAAAGTTGTTTTGGACCAACTGTTGATAGCCTTCAGGTCTTAATATTTGTGTTTATGTTTTGTCCTTATCAGAAGATGTGACTTCGGTGCACCTGGATGGATGTGTGCACAGTGGTATGAAATGTACCAGTCAATATTTATAGTATCAGAAGCTGTGCTTAGCTAATATTGTAGTTTGTGTCATTAGAAATATCTCCAACAGTACTGATTGGTTATGTATGGTTTGATTCCAGTGCTTGATACTGGCTTGGCCCGCTGCCTCAAGGTTAATATTTTAAAGATGCAATAGATTGTTTTCTCTGTGTCTCTGGGTAAATTAAATGCTTTTAGAGATGACTACTGAGCACATAAACAATGTTGTGAAAAGTACCTAATGAAAGAGATTGACATAGTAGTGTCTATGCTGGACCAGTTTGAAGGACTATCTGCTCTTGAAGGCTTTCTCATCTTCTTGAAAGCAGATGTCTGAAGAAAAGCATAAGCACACAGGAGACAGGTTTGCACAAGTATTCCTAGTATCTGTCCATCTACTGCCCAGCACCTTCTAAACCCTGAATAAAGCTTTAATGCTGGTTCCCTTCTCAGGTACTCAGCACAAAAGGGGAGGAACTTGATCTAACCTGTTCTATTATATACTGGAGTCATCTGAACTTTTAGCACCTACAACATAAGGTGTTCTCTACTTGAGTATATTTTTTGTGGAAAAGGAGATACTCCTTTTCCTTCCTGATAGTTTTCATTTGTTGTTGTTGATTTCCTGTACTAAAACAGGTTCTTGTACTTCCAGTACTTTTACAGGAAGATTTTGGTTTTGTTGTTCAGGGATAAGTTTTATTCCTCTGGCTACCCTTGTTCTTCTTTACTGTTTCCTTTTCACTTACAGCATTTTGAGCACTGGATCCAGAAGTGCACTATATATGGAAACTTAGTGACATAATGGTGCCTTCAGTTATGTTTTTGTTCCTCTCATGATTATTCATTAGTTGGTATTTGGGGTTTTTGGACTTGTACTGATATTGTGTGCTTCCTTGGAGTGATATGAATGCAAAAAAAGAAATCAGTCTTGTTGCTTTAGTCTTACCTTCTGCATTTTCTTATTCTGAAATTTGGTCATCTCTTGGGTCCATGTAACTTCTGCTTTTGATATACTTTAAAAAGGCATTTAAAGTTTTATGTCTTTTGCATGTTTTTTTTATTCACTATTTTTTCTAGGCCAAATGTGTTGTACTTTTCTATTTAACCACAATACATTGTAATTTTTACTTTACTCAGTTGAATAATAGAAATCTGTTACTATACCCAAGAACATTCTTCATAATCTTGTATTGCTCTGTAGCTCGTTGTATTTAAGACTTATGATTGAAGTAGGTAGCAGGTGACTGGAGATTGTCAGAACAATTTCTATTTGCTGTTTCTGTATAAATTCATTTTACTCTTTAGTTATTACATGTAAATGGCAGTTACTTAGGCAACCCATCTTTTTATTTATAGTAGAAGTAAAACCTTTTCCATAAAAGAGAGAAAACAAAAGAATGACTAGGGACAAGCCATATGGGAAACAAGTAAGTAGTTTCACCTGCAAAGATTGATTTCAGTATTAAGTAATATCTATCATTTAGACGTGAGCAGCATCTGAAAAGAGAGGGATCAGTTTCTGCATATCCATGATTCCCTCAGCCTTTTGAAGCTGGATTTTTGAGGGATAAAGGTGATGCAAAGAACTTAAAAAGTTGGAACTGCTCTCTGCGCTCTAAAAATTTGGGAGGCCAAAGGAAGATGATAAAAATAATTTTAAAAAACCAAACCAAAACCATGATACACTGTAGCTTTTACCCGTAGTCATATTTCTTCTTTCCCTCTCCTCTGTCTCTCCCTCTTCCATACCCTGCGTTCCTCATTGCTTTTCTCCTAATTTAGTGCATTTATTGTCAGTAACAGCAATC